GTATTATATGAAACAATTTCACAAGCTTAACAATTTCATGAAAAAATTTCATAAAATTAACGACGGATCAGAGTAGTTTTTACGGTTTTTACAAATTGGAGTGGTTTTCATTTGATCGCTCCTCTCTCTATATATATATATATATATATATATATATATATATATATGAGAGAGAAAGGATATTATTTGCGTTAACGTATAGTTAGAAACGAATTCAATCACGAAACAAACACATACACATCCCAATTTTCTACATTTCCAGTTCAATATACGGTGCATGATTAGATGTCTCGTCCACACCATAGGATCCCAGGATTTTGTCTATACTAATTTATTTAATTTTTATTATAATAATATTTCTGACAGGTTATTTAAAATTAAAAAAACTATTTTTTTATTTTAACAGATTTTCTTTAAAATAGATGAGAGAGACAAGGTCTCTACTCAAATGATCTAATTATTAACTCAGTAAGCGATAATTTGGATAACGTTATACGTCATTTGGTACTTTCGAAACAAAATGGTATTTGAAGAAAGGACATCTCCATATTCCGATTCAAGTCCTTTCTTCCAATGGTTGGCTAATCGTTAGTATTGTACCCAGGCAAAATTGCATAAAAAATACTCGAAATAACCATCTTCGAGCGTGACTTAGTTTGATTTCTTCTTTAGTAACAAAAAAAGGAAACTATATTTCTCTCTGTCAAATGAAGCATTGCATCCATGATTCTATGAATAACAAAGAACTACACCAAAAAAATCCTTTAAAAAATAATGAAAGAGGCATGCTCTCATATAATATTGGAGACAACAGTCCGGCCGCAACGTAACTAACGGACACACGCGTGCCCGATTGGTCAGAAGTTCATCGCCACCAATCGGGCACTTTTAATCTCCGACTTCTATGTACATCAAGTCTTTCTGCAGGAACCTTATGTCGTACCTGTCTCCAAATCATATTCACGGCGTCGTCTTTTTTTGGAGGATATTGATATTCGAAATGATGTGCGACTTCTTTCAGCCGTCTCCACATTTGAAGCCACCGATCTTTTGGGATTTTTCTTAGCTGTTGGACCATGTAACCCGGAACCAATGCCTCTTCCACGGAGAAGAAAACTGCGAATTTGGTGTAGTCTAATTCATCCTCGAATGGTAGCTCAATTTGATCGCTCACAATCACGGGGATACAATGGCTTACGATAGCATCAAACAGACGGTTTGAGGAAGGAGTGTCGCCTGCTGGATTTAGACAGAATTTGGACGACCGCATTCCCTTGGAAGACTGATCATATATCAAAAGAAAAGAAAAACATTTTGACATCAAATTGATCGCTTTCAACTCCAAAAAGTAGGTTCTAACTTGGGTTCGATATATTTATAACCAAACCAAACATACCTAGTAGATCCCGCTCAGAACTAGGTTCTTGGAGTAGGATGTACACAAACTTTTCCTCAGAGAGGTTGTTTATGCAAACACTCCCGCTTTCCAATTGTTTCATCTATGTGTTAATTCTTATGGGTCATTTAATTAAATGACCTTCTAAATCACCACCTATGCAAGTAACCATTCCTCAACTTGCGAAGAGATCAAAAAATAAAAATAAAAAGAAATTTCTGAACATGGTCCGCAAGTAACACACCCGCAATAGAGACCAAATCTGTAGATTAATCCAAATACTTCCTCAACTTGCGCAAGTGCTACTTGCGGACTCATTCAGAATTTTTTGGGCCCTCCACAAGTTGAGGAAGTGTTATTTGTGGAGGTGGTGATTTTGTCGAAAAAGTGGGAGGGAAATGGCCAAGAGGTAAATTTTCTAGGCCAAAATGGCTACTTTTGTTAACTTCCCTTTAAGAATGTCACTGCTTAACAGAAGAATGCAAATGCAACTTCTAAACACAAGAATAACCCGTTATTCTTGAACCATTACCAAGACTTTTGGTTAATAATTAATAGTCAAACTTACCTCTACAAACCGTGTGTGTTTAATGTTTCAAATTTCATGGGATGGATTTCGGACCTATAGGTGTACAATTGTTCATTATCTTATTAGATGAATCACCAACTTTATAGACATTTACAAGAGGAACTTACTGCTGTTATGCTTTCTCTTGTTGCATAGCTCGCTTCATAGTGAACGTCCTTGTAACCTTTTAATATTTTTTCCAACTTAGCACGGACCACGCCTTCCTGCACATCATGTTATTGACTTCAATTTACTGGGTTGTGTTGGAAAGAAAGAAAACTGTATCATGTGGAATATCTGCAAAAGTTTATTGATTACATACAGATTTTCTCACTGTCCTCCCTTGGAAGAAAAGAAACGTAGTACGTGACTTGTAAGGATCGGGAGGGTCATCATCCAAGAAAGACCCCATTACGTGCATATAAGGGGCGACAACGTCTTTGCGTAGATTTGACATGACTCTAGAGTAACGCCCAAAATCTGCAACAATGAGGATGGATGCATTCACCTCTTCTCGGAGAAATCTGAAAGCATTGGGATGGTGCATTGGAATTACATGGTCTCTTCCATTGGTTCTTTGCCAATAAGTGGACTGCCTCAAGAACTTAAGGATGTCAATCTGTAATCATAAGCATCGCGTTCAGCTCTACCAAGTTTACAAGTGAGTAAACACTTGTAATTAATAATCCACATCTAATATTCATGTCCAATCATAAAGATGTCAAAGTATGTGTTTAGTTATTTTAAGTTATATAACTTCACTCGTTAACAACTTAGCATATAATCATCCAATATTGATATGATTTGTCGGTATATTATGATCTACTATCTCCTGCCTAAGCGTTGCACAAGGAACAAAAACCTGGACTAGAAGTGTTGTCTTGGAGATAAATTATCATAAAATGAAGAAAAAAAACTATTATGGAATTTGACTACTAAAAGTATATAAACCAAATCAAAGCAAACAAACCCAGTGAGTCCCACACAAAAAGGTTTTGGGAGGGTAAGATGTAGAGGTTGTTTCTATAAAGACACCGGCTTATTTAAAAAAACATGATTTTTCATGTGGAATATGAATATCTGCAAAAGTTTCTTAAATTTATGAAGATCTAGCTGTTAATTACTTGAAGTGCTTGAGGCATGATTTTGGGAGGTGTATTTTTTGGGGGAGTTCTTGAGATCAGAAGATTGAAAATCGGAATTCTTGGGGCAGCACCAGAACCAGAGGGGGACACCACAAGACTTCCCCACATCACTTTGAATACAGTTTTCCTCAAGTTTCTTCCCGAGTGTACTGAAAGTTGCCTCTGCAATCTATTTCCTTGAACAAAGAAACTGACAGGATGACAACCTACTATGTAAAAAATATAGCCCGTGAATAGGATTCGACATCTACCATTCACATATTCTTTCAATTTTTGCTTCAATAGGTCATCCCAACTATTGAACCACTGACATGGGTTACGCCCATCAACCATATTCAGAGTAATTCCTGATTTTACACATCATTAACCTGTTGCAGTCTTTGATGTATCAGTATAGCAAGTTGCAAAACATGAACAAGTTTCACGCCCCAAAGCCGAATACCTTAAGAGAGAAACAATTTCAAAGGTATAATGCTCGAATGAAATGTGGGAAATTTAGATACCATCTTCCCTCATTATCTACACTACATCATTCCAAAGTCTACAATAGCCTAATGGTCATTGCAATTGATCCAAGATACCATATGCATAAACTCTGGCAACCTACCAAAATGATGCCTGACCGCCTAAGTAAAATATGTGCACGCTCTTGTAGTTTTTGTATCTTGGTTTGAGCAGATACCTTCTACATGCTAGGCTACATAACAAAATTAGTAGAGTCAACCACTGTTAAGTTCTTTACTTCAGGACTACTATGGAAACCATTAACCTATACGTGGTTTGCAGATGTTGCCATTGATGTTTTCCGCCATTTTTTTATGCAGGGAAAAGTATTTTGTCTTTCTTTAGCTGGGGGGCACACACAAGCAGAACCCAACAATGCTGAAAACTTCACCAGATTCAAATTGCATCATCCTACACTAATCAGCTTTAGCAAACCTAAAAGCTACCAATTACAATGTTCAACATCTCCAATCCAACCACGAATGGAAACCATTAAATAATCCACCATTTTGAAGAAATTACATTTCTGAAAAGGAAAAGATGCGTAATTTTCTTAGGACTCTATAGCATCCTTCAATTGCCACCAACAATATTGTATCTTTTTCTCACTAGAGTGGCAATAACCCATCGGTCAGACTCATGCTTTGTAGTTTTGTCCCTACTGATGTGTTGAGCAAGGTTCTAGCAGCTATACATGACTACTTGGTAGTGGTTTTAATGACATAGAAACTGGCCTAATCAGTAAGGTTCTAGGGGGAGCTTTATGCAGAAAGTGAAGTTTTTTCCAAACCTATTATTCGCAATTAAAAAAACACGCTCCTTCTATCTATGAAAGAACCCTCCCAAAACAAAAATCTTCTAATTCATAGCTTTATCCATACAAGACTTAATGGCAAACCAACCATAAATCCCCAAAGTAAATCATAATATGAATACCCGAATGTTGAAAGTGATACTTTAACACATCAACCCATATTAAATGAAGTAGACAACCAGACTGGCCATTGAAGGATCATTCAGCCACGATTCCCTCTTTTCAGTAGAAGAGCTGCAGTTTCTGATGTCAAATCTTCTAAGTTCAAAAAATTGATGCATACAAATTGTGAACCACTAAGATTGTTCTATTAATTTGAAATTTTCCCTCTGAAAAATTAAATCCTTATGGAATTGAGACTGAAGTGTATTGCAAATGGCAATCAAAATCAAATATACAGCTCTTTTGGTTACGGATGAGTAGATCATAATGTGCAAAAAGTCAAATTGTAAGATGGACAGCTAGAGTTAAATTTATCGACTAATTCTTACCTGCAATTGCCTGTCAATCTCAGTATCCGGATCCGTCATGTTCCTCCCATGCGTATTAAAACTCAACGAAGAAAAAAAAGGTACGAAGAACACGTCCGCTGCTTCCGGATCCGAAACCCTAACCGCCTCATTACTATCAGAATCAATACAATTTCCACACAGTAGCGAAGCCATCATCCAATACTCCACACTATGCTGCTGCTTTAACCCCGAATTCCGCGGCCACGGCGGCAGATTCCTGGCTGTCACCGGAGAATTATCATCTTCTCCGGTGAATTTCTTGCTCAACATAGCAACATTAAACCTCTTTGGCAAATCATACATGAAGACTCTGAGCGGCGACCCGCTGCGGCAAGGTATAAAGGTATCATTCCTGGATGGTGATAGGAAAGAGAACTGAGATCTAAGATCAACTGTTCCGATTCTTCCTGCTCCTAAACCTCCAGTTGTGATTAAGTACGTGGTGAAGATGATGATTATGAAGATAACGAGTGATATAACTGATTTACCAACCATTTTTGTCGCTGAAATTCAAACGGTTTGTTCGTTTGCATATATACATCTCCAATTCTGTAGATTTGACTAAAAGTAAGAGGGTTTGTGTGTGTGTTTGAAGAAACGAAGGTTTAACAAAGAAGGAAAGTAGCGGAGAAAAGGGGTAGACTTGAGCTCCCGGTTGGTTTCCTGTTTATTGAATGGTGTGCGGATCCGCCATTAACGAAAAAAGGATCTTGCTGACTTCGTGCAAGTTGTTTATTGTTTCATACCCAATGAGATTTGCGAAGGTGATCAGACCAGAAATGTAACACAAAATAAATGATTAGGGAAATTTATAGAAATATTCATTTATTTACTCAAATGATCTCTCTTTTACTTAAAAGACAAAAAAATATTTACAGTTTTGCAAAGGAGGGGTCATCCCAATAGTCTTACGGTAGTAGTGATATTTGGGTAAAATCTGGAAAGAAATAGTTAGAAGGTCAATCAATGTAAGAGAAATGACTATTTGAGTCGATTTCTTGTAACATTAATTACATTTATTTAAGCATCTTCAACATATTCTTTAAAATACAGGTTTTTGTTCTATCAAGTTCCTAAAACCTTTTTAAAAATGGACAAAGTATGAGAGATAGGATGAAAATCTTTAAGTTTTGAGATTTCTCCAAAAATGATTACTTATGAAAAGAAATGATTGTTTATTCATTCTACTAATAAGATTGTTTGAAATTAAATATTCAGAAGAGATAAATAATATTTTATGAGTTGTATTGAATATTTTAATAATACTATAAGGGTACTCGTGCAATGCAGCGAGATGCATCTTGATTTTATTGTTTCGTTTTATATTTTGGGTCTATTGATGTTATAATGCGACTTTATGTGGTTTTGAGAAGAAAAAAAATGTTTTTATTTTTAGATGAAATATAAATTTGAAAAAAAATAAATAATATTAGTATCAAATTAACTATTTAAAAGTTTTTGTTTTTGTGTAATTTCTTTAATTCAATTTTTTATTATAATTTAACTGGAATTTAAAAATGAACTAATTTATTTTTGGTTTGATAAAATAATTTATTTAAGATAATAATTAGTTATTCTGTTAGAACTCAATGATTATTTTAATTATGTTTTGGATTTTTTATATTTAAGATGAGATGTTTATCATCTATTTGATTATGTTTATCCTCAGTTAGTTACACGGATTCAAACATGAATTTTAATAAGTTGTACTTATGCATAATTTATTTGTAATCTTTAATTTTAAGTAATATGCATCAACATACAATACTTTATGCATAAAAATGGTTTTTAATATTTTTTGTCAAATGTTTTATAATATAATATAGATACGGAAGAAAATTAATAAATAAGATGTAATCTATTAAAATATAAAACAATATAGTTTGTTGATTAAATTCTATTTTTTTAAATAGCGAGTGTATATACTTTAGGAAGTTTTTGTAACACCTTGGAATTTCTTCTCCTCCCTCAGTCTCCATTTCTTTCTCGTCGGGATTTCTTCCGTCCCGTTTGCAAGGTATACGTCTTTATTTATATTTATATGTATTTATATATGTGTGTATTAAATATTAGGAATTTAGTACACTTTTATTTTATTTGATCCTTTCAAAAAGTGGAGATCTTTCTTTTATTTTGATGTTATTTTGCTTAGCTGTAATGTATGGGATCAGGGGTAAAAGTAGGAAGAGAGGGGTATTACCTCCTGCACTTTGACTTAAACCAGTAGACACTCACTATTGGAAGGCTTACCTTTTGTTTTTGAGTCCTATCCTGTTGTCCTTGCTTTTTTTTATGATTACTTTGGGGTAAGGGAGTCCAGATTTCTTTTGGGGAGAGGGCAAGAGAAAGGTTCTAGGGAGAGACTGCCGATTGAGGGTTAAGGGAGGAAGGGTAGTCTCACCTCCAAGTCAACTAAACCCCTTCTTTGAAACATCTTCATCTCCCGACGTCGACCCTAGCTCCGGCCACGATATGCACGCGACTGCTGTCCCATGCGAGCTGCGCGCATCTGCTGTTTCCGTCCCTGCATGCGACCGTCTTCGAGCCTCCAGCCGAGTCTACTCCAATTTTCTGCACGCTGTTGTGCCGTGTGATATGCGCAAGGGTTGTTCCCGCGCCAATACCGTTGTTGTTTTCGGGTGATCAACACACGTGAGCTGTGCCTATGCATTATGCACGTTGCTGTCTCTGCGTGTCAATACCGCTGCTGTTTTCGGGTGATCAACACACAAGAACTGTGACTGTGTATTCTGCACGCTGCTGTTCCCGCGCCTATGCGGCTGTTTGTTTCCGTGTGATCTACACAGGAGCTGTTTTTGCGCCCCTGCACGCGTCTACTTCCGTGCCTCCAGCCGCGCGGTCGTAGCCATGCAGTCTACGCCATCCCCTTTCCCTTCAAGCTTTCCTAGCTGCTGCCTGTCGGAGAAGGAACGACCCTACTGTTTAGTCCTACTTTCACCCATCTTTTAGCTCAAGAATTGCACTTCTCCTAAATCCTACATTGTGAGTTCACTCCCTACCGTTGAGACTTTATATTTGAATCGATGATGTATTTATTGTGCCAAATACTCTAATGTCTAAAATTTAATTATTTTAGATGAGTTATAGATTTCCAGACAATAGTGAATGAACCTAGGAAGCCCGATGACAATAGCAACATGGCTTACTAATGGCTTAAATTCACCAAGAGAATTTTATAATCCAAGTGTTATCCACCTAAAACCGGAGAGGCCTTTATAAATCGTTATACAGAGTTACTCCCTAGTTGTAAGGAAGTGTCGCGTTACCTTAGAAATTATTTTAGAATCTATTTGGCAAGTACGCGTTCTTCTCTTATAAATGGGTTGTTGCCTAAGAAAGAAACCTATCTTCGGAGTATAATGTGGTATGGGTTCGAAAGTCGATATTTTACTTTGTGAGGAGGTTGGCGTGATTTGGACTTAGGCATTGTGATCATTATGTAACTTTCAAATCCACCTTTACTTTTCCACTTGGAAATAGGCATTGAGATCATTATGTAATTTCCGAGGTAAAGAGCTTAAGATCACGACCGACTACATGACTGRCTAGGTTGATGTCAATGGTGTTGAACCTGTAAGTGATGCTCTGTAACGTTGATCTATGACTTACTTTGTGTTCCGTCAAATAAACGGTAAATCGGGTCTCCCCCCATCTTCGGATGTTTGGACTCTCCCACGTTTTATTTGAGACTTACTTACCTTTTGTTACCGTCTAAAGTTTCGTCATCTATTTATACGTTCTTTCTTGCATATAGGGTCTTATAATTACACTTATCGTATTGTTTGGACTCACTAGGCGTAAGCCTAACACTTTTCTTGACATGGTTGCCTATCAGGTTCCTTTAGCGGCGGGGTATCGAAGGATTGAGAAGTTTGTCGTTGGTAAATGTCATTTTTGTAGTCAGAGTACTTGATGATCCGAGCGTTGCTATTTTGGTTAAATTTCGTTTTGTTGGATACGGTAGAAACACCCGTTCCTAATCTAGGCATAGAAATATTTAGATTATTAGGTTGTTAATTATCGTCTCATTTTTATTTTGTAAATGCGTTACTTCTTCCCTTTGTTGGGTGATCTACCTATTTAACCGTTTGAAGATTTTTGTCTGATGGAATCACCGGTTAAGATTATCTTCTCTTTCATTGATTTTTTATTTTATTTTAAGGGTGTTACAGTTTTAATAGTATAGAACATTATTAAATTATAGCAAACAATCACTTTTTTATTATTCTTATATAATAATATGTATTGTTGTTATAATAATTATTAATTAAGAGTAAAGAGGAATACACAAACTTTAACTAATGCATGGTTATAGTAATTTATTTAAAATATTTAGAATAATAACAATTTATCTACTATTAAGATAATATAAAACAATAATAATATAACTATAATTACATTATGATTATTAAGGGGTAGTTTGTTTATCTCTTAATAGTTCCATTAAGAGGCAACATTTGAATCGTTAAAATATCATTAAGGAAATGTTTATTTACCTCTTAATGGTAATATGTTTGGAGCACCGTAAACATTGTTGGAAATATTTAACATAGGAAGAAGGAAACAAAAGAAATATGAAATCCCCTTTAAAAAGGTGTATGCATCACACAACTTTTTATGAATCGACTTATTATAAATGATCATTTTAAACGAATCATATACTAAAAAAACCCGATTGAATAAAGTTATACATCATTAAATAATTATCAACGGATAAAATAAGAACATCAATTAGTCTTAAAGCGTGTCCTATTCAATAATTGGTTACAATAGGTTCTATAACTATAAATGGACATAGATCAAATTGACACTTAAAA